TAAGTAAATATTTATGGAGGTTCCTCCATCTACCTAAGCTCTACTATCTCTACAATAATATACACTAGTAAATCAACAATTGCAATCTTAAATTAAAATTTGATTCTTAAAATAATACTCTAGAAGAAGTGATCGGGTTTCCAAGAGGTCATTAAAATTACTATTCATAAAATCATTTCTAAGATATGCAATTTCACTTAACAGATTTCCAAGAGTTCATAAAAATGATCACTACATCCATTTGTGGGAGAGTGTCTGTAATGAGCTGTGCTTCTGAGAACATCTCTGCTGAGATTGTTCTTCTATTACACTTTTAAAATTATAAATAAATCAAACTAGTTCCATGTTTTTAGGAATCCAACCAAATCAAGATAAAATTGTAATTGATAATAAATGAAGTTTCAGACACTAGAGGGTTAAACTATATTTAATTTTTTTCCCTTATGATGTTCTCAGTAATGTCACACATTACAACTTCGTTTATGTTCTTGTGCCTGAGAAGTTTCTCTTAAGAATATCATATTTTATCCATAACAGTTGATGATAGGGCAAATGAGTTGAACGAGAAAAACTTCTATTTAGAGATTAAAAAAAACTTTACATTCTTAATACATATGAATTAATTTATTTTTTAAAATATCAGCTATAAAAAAAATATTGATATTCCTAAATCAAAATTTTTTATTAAAATAAAAAATATAAATATATTTTCAAATTAATAGATATATTTATTTATTATTTCTTCTAATATTTTAAATTTATCTTTTTAAAAGAATTGTTTAAAATATATAACAATTATATCATAGAAATGGGAGCAAGATAGGACTTAGTATTATATTTAAATATATTCAAATATTTAATTACGTAATAGTTTTCCTTCGTAGGACCCTTATATCTGCATTGAGGCAAGATATTATTAGATATAATTATTTATTCAAGCAATATATTATACTATATATAAGTACGTAATTAATTTTTCTCAGCAAACTCTTCCTCCAATCTCTACGACTGGAATACTACATCAGCGGTTCTGACATTGTGGCAACATCATTCCACTTTGTTATAGCTGTGTATGTAGCGATTATTTTCCAATGGAGGTTTGGACTAAATGCTTGAATCCTAGAACTCTAATAGTTCCCTTGACATGAGTGAAATGAGTGAAATGAAATCAAGTCATATGACATGAGTGAAATGAAATCGAAAGACATAAAAACACCACCTCTTGTACTTGTAACATTCTGACTTAATTAGTCTTTTATTTAATTTATTATTTAATTTAATAGAGAGATACACTTAAATAATTATTTTTTGAATTATGATATGTTTAGTCGACAGTGGCATTTGTGATATTGCATGCTTATTTAATTAGTTTGGTGAGAACTAATTGACTATATAATTAAAATTAGTAGAACAAGAGGTGTTGGTTCAATTTTGTAAAATAAGGAAAATATATGGTAAAGGGGAAGAAGTTGAATGTTAGTTGAACAAATATCATAATTAAAAGGAATTATTAGAATATTATTTATTCAGAAAATTAGAGAAATTAGGATTTGGAGTGAGCCTTTTTATTAGTATGTGAAAACAAGAAGTTTGGAGAAACAAGAGTGGAGAGATAGGGCTTGGAAGAAGAATTCATAGGAATTTGCTTTTGCTGATTTTTGTTTGAATTACAAGGTAAGTGGAAGGATTCTTCATCTAAGGGCTCTTATATCATGAAAAGCTAGAAAGATTTCCTTTAACCTCTAATAGGCTTTTGTGTTTTCTCTATTTCTTGATGATGAGTACGATAGATGAATGTTTATGATGTTGTTTTGTCATGGATTGATGTGATAAATTGTGTATGTTGTTGTTGTGTTGTTTGGTCACTAGTGCAGAAATGACTTTTTACATCAGGCAAAAATGATATTTTACATCAGGTCTGGGTCCGATGTAAAGCCAAACGATGTAGTAAATCAAAGACATTTTACATCGGATTTTGACCCGATGTAAGAAATACACCAAGCACATCGGTTAAATTTTTAAGTCTGATGTGAAAAAAAAATATAATTGTAAATTTTAATTATAAAAGGGTGTTTTAACATCGGTTGTAAGGCAAAACCGATGTAAAAGGTAGACTTTTTACATCGGTTGTGTGGTTAACCCGATGTAAAAAGTACTGTAGTAAACAAAATAAAAATGTCAAACACGCGCCTGGTTAACTTTTTACATCGGTTCTCTTATTTGACCGATTTAAAAAGTCTTAGGTGACACTTTTAACATCGGTTATGTGGTTTACCCGATGTGAAAGGTGGTTTTTTACATCGGTTATTTCGTTCGCCCGATGTAAAATGTACTATTACAAGTATAAATTATTTGTCTATTTTTTAGTCGTTCCCTGTAACTTTTTTGGTACCTAATTTTTCATATTTTTCCAACATCACACAGACCATAATTAGGTCGCTATTTTTCATAGTTTCCCAACATCATATAGACCACATTTAGGTCGCTATTTTCATAGTTTTCCAACATCACATAGACCATATTTAGGCCGTTATTTTCATATTTTTCTCACAAATCTAATTTCATTGCACCAAATATCTAGTATACACATAATTGATTTACAAAAGTACTGATATAGGATATACACAAATGTACTAAATTATAAGGAGGTTTACACGATGGACCACTACAACAACAAAAAGCTTAACCTTTATATAACTTAAAGAAACATGTTGCCCAACGGAGTCGCAAATCATACAAATCATCTTTTATTAAATTCGTTGGGTCATCAAATACCTACAACACGTAAATAACAATAGAGTTATTCTTTGAAAATTCACATTAAGTTGCAAAACATAAAGTAAATAACAAATTAAAGTCATTTTTATTACCTTCATCCAAGAATTGGTTATATTGACAGAGACAATATCCAACATACTTTTCATCACATAATATCCACAATCATTAGAGTTAAGTTGTTTCCTTGTCTACAAATGAATGACATAATTAGTGAATACTTATATGATAAAATTAAATATATAATTATAATTTACACCACGCTTACATTGGGTTGAAGCCATGTAGCCTTTTTTCTATTCCCATTTTCCGTTTGATGAACCCCAAAAGCACTAATTCAGAAGAAAAAAAATTCATATAAAGCCACATAACATATGATATTACTTTTGTAACAAATTATGTATATAGGATGAAGTGAAAATAAAAGATAAACTTACCTTGTAACAATTTTCGTCATGGTTTGATTAAGTTCATGATGAAGTGAACAAAAGACGACCACCGTACTATCATTTGGACACATGACTATTAATTGTCAATGACCTCTGTACGTGTGTGTGGAAACACAAAAGTCACAATTTCATGTTACCAAAATTGAACTATATATGTTACCAAAATTAAAAAATAGAAAACATAATTTCATACAAACTTACCCATGAATAAATGGTAACAAGTGACACTCTCTCAGGTATGTATGTATGGTTAGTACTTAGATTACCAAACAGATTCATTCCATCAGTTAAAAGTCCAAGTCTAAGGTTTCTCGTCTCTTTGCCAAAATTTGGAAACAAATCATTTATTTTCTTCCGTTGTAAAAAATCAGCTACATGGCGAATTTTTCCATCACACTGTCTTTCTTCTGCATGCCATCTAAGATTCTTTGCGTCATTTGCATTAGAGAATAGTCTCTTGAACCTTGAAATTATTGGTAGGTAACATACCACTTTCGCGGGAGGAACCTTTTTTACCGCCTCATCATCACTAGAATCACCAACTTTCTTTTTGTAGTGTGACACCTTGCACTTCGAACAATGATTACAGTTTACATACTCTTTTCTGTATAATATGAAATCATTAGGGCATGCATGTATCTTTTCATACTCCAAACCCATCGGACACAATATCTTTTTCGCCTCGTAATAACGATTTGGCATTATGTTACCTTCTGGAAGCATCTGTGTCAACAATTCAAGCAATTCGGTAAAACTTTTGTTAGTCCACCCATTATTTGCCTTCAAATTAAACAGTTTTAACACGGCTGACAAACGTGTAAAATTTGTGCATCTCCGGTACAAAGGTTTATCCTTGTCACTGCATAAAGTATCATACCCATGCACCTTCTTAAACGAATCTTGTCTAATATCACACATCATGTCTTTCAGACCATCATCCATTTCTGCACTAATATTATCTCTTTGGGACACATTTGACTTTGCTACTACCTCATCGTGTCATATCCATTGTGTATAACTTTAACAAATCTCATGACAAATTAGATGATCCATGATTTCTTTCTTATTGAGTTTTGGTTCGTGATTTGCACAACGAACACATGGACAGAGAAAAAGCAGATGAAGACTTTTTTCAGCATCACTCTTAGGATGAGCAAGATTTTTTTAGCATTACTTTCAGCAAGCTCTAGAAATTTCATCACTCCATGTTCGTACTCGACACTTAATCGATTGGCTCTCATCCAACTACGATTCATACCTATGTTCCGAAATTATTAATGCATACAGAGTTAAATCATTGGGACGCCTATAATAGTCCCTCTTTTGAACATTAGAGAAAACAAAGTCTCTACGTGTAAACACATGGCATAAAAGAAGAATTGAGAAGTTATAAAGAATGAAAAGAGAACTTGCAATGTCGTGGCGGCCGGATGACTTGCGGTTAAGAGAAAAAGAGGGACACAAATTCTACGAGAAACAAAATATCAATAAACTGAAGCAATTGGAGTTTATTTGGTTAATTAGTTATTTTATTTTCAGATACCAAAATGAGAGAAACAACAAAGAGGGTACAGAACTTACACTATGCACTCAAGGTTTTATTTAGACAAAGTCAATGATAGGATTTGTCACCAAGATGGGATTTAGACAAAGTACCGAAACTGCAACCAAATCATTAGGACAATCATTAGGACAATGATAGGATTTTCATAATTTACTTTCATAATAAACCATTGTAATAACAGCAGAAGAATGTGAATTCAAAACCAAAAAAACATGGGGAGGCGAGGACGACCACCAAAGGTGGTGTCGACGCTGTCATCAGCCATCAGCAACAATGATGATGACATACCATCTGAAACCAACGCGAATGCAAGCAAAACACAACATGGAGGAGAAGAGCCAACAAAGGAGATTGTGGAAGAACAGGAAAGCAGCAAATCTGGAACCCTAATTTCACCAAAAGGGGCAACAGAACCTAGAAGACTATGGGTAGATGTTATAAGTGGAAATCGGAATCCTAAGAACGGGTTAACACTGGAATTCATTGCACCAATGATTGTCAATGGTATTGCAGAGGTACGTATTGAAGAAGCAGACACTGTAACAGAGGTGAAATTCTGGGAGACGGCATTGATCATGTATGTAATGGGAGGTGATTTAAGTATGAACATGGTCAAACAATTCATGCTAAAACAATGGAATTTCATTAAGTTTCCTGACATGTATTACAACAACAAAGGATATTTTGTATTGAGATTTCATTCACACAAGGAGAGGGATGATGTACTCATGAAAGGGCCTTACACCATACGCAATATGTCGATGCTGTTAGCTGAATGGAAACCAAACTTCAATTTGAAGAATGATATGTTACGTACAATCCCGGTTTGGATTCAACCTCCTCAACTGCTGTTGCACCTATGGGAAGCAAAAAGTTTAGGGAAGATAGCGAGTGTGTTGGGCACCCCGTTGATGACTGATGAATGCACCGCGAACAAATACTGTATCTCGTATGCTAGAGTTCTAGTAGAAGTTGATGTTACACAAGAACTCATTGCTGAAATCACTATAACGGATGAGAAAGGAGAGAAGATGCAACAACGAATAGAATATGAATGGAGGCCTCCATACTGCACAAAATGCCAACGGATTGGGCATAAATGTGAAGAGAAGCAACTAAGGAACCCAACCAAGCAGTGGATCCCTAAAGAGAAGAAGCACCAAGATGATAGGGTGGCTGATAAGGAAGTGGAGACCTTGAAGACACCGACATAGGAAGTAACAGGACAGGAACATACTAAATCTGGAACAATTGTGCGAATGACAAACAACAAACAAACAGAAACAGACGAAGATATGGCGTGGACAGAGGTGAGGAGGAAAAACAAAGTTAAGGCCAATGGTATTGATACTGGTACAAGTCCAAAAAACAATAAGCCAACGAAGAATGATGGGAACCTTTATGCAACACTCGGGGATAGTCCAGCCTCGGTGTTCCTAGACGATGTCCCATGATTGTCTCTTGGAACATCAAAGGGCTGCATAAAGCGGGCAAAGTTAAGGAGATCAGCTCTCGTTTCCAAAAACTAACACTTGCAATATTTGTTTTAATCGAAACAATAGTTAAGGCAAAGAATGCAATTTGTATTCATCGGAAACTGAGATTAGAAGGCAACTATATAGATAACTACTCAAACCATGATAATGGCAGAATATGGATCCATTGGGATGAGAATAGAAGAAACATGGCACTGGTGGAAAGCACATTGTCAGGTTAATGATGTTAATGGAAATTTTCTGTTTTGGTTGACAGCCATTTATGCACATAACCAGTTGCAGCACAGGAGGGAATTGTGGCATGATATTGAAAGAATTAATGCACAGCAAAATGGGCCTTGGATCCTGGTAGGTGATTATAACAACGTGATGAAAACTGAAGACATAATTGGCAATAATGACGTTACAGAGCAAGAATACATAGATTTGACTGCGATGATGAGTAAAACGGGATTATATGAAAAGGTTAGTGGGGGAGACTACTTCACATGGTCGAATAAACAGGGAGATAATGCTATTTACTCTAGAATTTATCATGTCCTCTGCAATGTTGAATGGCTGTAATAGAACGAAAGTACGATGTTAACGAATATGAACCCCAGTATATCAGACCATGCCATGCTTGTGTTACATGACGATATTGAAGTCTAGCGGCCTAAAAAAGAATTTAGATTTATAAACTGCTGCGCAGAATTGGATAATTTTCAGGAAGTTGTCAAGAACAGTTGGGACATGCCGCTAGTAGGTAAACCAATGTTTGTTGTGTGGAAGAAATTGCAAAGGTTACAACCCCACATCAGGAAATTGAGCAAACCGCTGGCTGAGATTCACAAGGAAATTGCACGAGCTCGTGATGATTTGAACAAGGCGCAGGATAATTTAATGACTAATAGATTGGATGCAGACAAGATTAATGTGGTTAAAAGATGTTCTGATAATCTTATTAGGCTACAGGAGCTGGATGATAGTATGGTGCGGAAACGAGCTAAAATTGACTGGCTGCGACTTCGTGACAGTAACAACAAGTATTTTCATGCCTCTATAAAGATGCGACAACAGCTGAATAACATGACCAAAATTCAAAGAATGGATGGAACCATTGTTACAAATCAGCAAGGAATGGAAAATGAAGAAATATCATTCTACAGGAATCTAATGGGTACTAAACTGAACCACCTTGAAGGAATTGATACATCAACTATGAGAAATGGAAGCCAATTGGGCGCTGCGTAGAGGGATATGCTGACGGGGCATGTAACCGAAGATGAAATCACCATAACTCTAAAAGGCATTGGTAATGATAAGGCACCTGGTATTGATGGGTTTGGAGCGTATTTTTACAAGAAAGCCTGGAATATCATCAAACTGGATGTTATAGCAGCTGTGCAGGATTTCTTCAAGCATAACCGTTTGTACAGAGCGACTAACTGCTCTGTTGTCACACTTATCCCGAAGCACAAGGGTGCGAAAGAAATACAAGACTATCGACCTAGTGTGTGCTGCAGTACCCTGTACAAAATCATATCCAAGATCTTGGCCAACCGCCTCAGCAAAGTACTAGGTACGATAATTGGTGCGAATCAAGCAGCATTTATGAAAGGGCAGAGAACTCACAACCATATTCTACTCACGTATGAATTGATTAAGGGATACGAAAGGAGAAATATTTCTCCCTGATGTTTAATGCAAATGGATATTCAAAAAGCGTATGATACGGTTGATTGGAATGTGCTTGAAAAGATTTTGAATGAGGTGGGTTGCCCATAACAGTTCACTAAATGGGTGATGACAATGGTTTCCATTGTTTCTTATAGATTTAACATCAACGGCCAGGTAACTGGCATCATGGAAGCGAAAAGGGGGCTTAGACAAGGTGATCCGATATCACCTATGTTGTTTGTCATAGTAGTGGAATGTTTGAACAGATACTTATACAAGATGCAGGAGGATTGTGACTTCAATTTTCACCCTAAATGCGATAAATTGAAAATCACAAACCTATGCTTTGCGGACGACTTATTTATGTTTTCCAGGGGAGGTAAGGTGCCAGTTGAAATGATGATGAAGACATATGGGAAATTTTCGAAGATTGAGATGGCTAGCAAATTGTCCAAATGCAAATGTTCTCTCATACTCTGGTTATATAATTAATAAGTATACATTTTATACGAACGAACATGATCATCAAAGCACTATGCAAAATAGCGGTGTCACACTCATAGCTGAATCTGTGCATATCTCAAGTTCCAAAAACAGAAATCCCGCATTTTCCAAATTGTCATACTTTGGGGTCATTGAACGTATTTGGGAGTTGCATTACTCATGCTTTTAAGTGCCTGTGTTTGGTTGCAAGTGGGTTGACAACAACAATGGCCTTCAAGTTGACCCTAGGTTCCAAGAGGGTCGTCTGCCTTTTAAGTATCTGGGGGTTCCGGTAACAGGTAAAAAACTCTCTGTTCGTCATTGTGCATCGTTAATAGACAAGATCGTGGGCAAGATAAAACATTGGACTACGCGGTTATTGACATACGCGGGGAGGCTTCAACTCATTAACTGTATTATGTTTGCGATGACTAATTATTGGCTCACTTGTTTCCCTTTCCCCAAAACTGTACTACAAAAAATAGAATCGATTTTTCGCATTTTCCTCTGGATAGGAGGTTTTGCAGGGAGCCGTAAGGCACCAGTAGCATGGAAACAGATTTGTAGTCCACGTAGCCATAGCGGTTTAAACATCGTTGACATTGAAGTTTGGAATAAAACAACTATTATGAAGCTGCTCTGGAATTTAAGTGGGAAGGAAGATTCACTTTGGGTTAAATGGGTACAAACATACTATCTCAAAAACAAAGATCTAATGGAGATCCAGTGTAAACAGAGTGATTCCTGGATAATGAAAGGTATACTCAATCTTAGGGAGGAATTTAAAAACATGAGCAATCAGGAAGAATTCAAGATGGGGGGGGGGGGGGGGGGGGAATTTAGATTGAGTAAACTGTATGCAAATTTACATGATTGTAGGCAGCCGGTGGAGTGGAAGAATATGGTGTATGGTAATAACACGAGACCGAGAGCTAATTTCATGTGATGGCTTGCTTGCCATGGGAGATTAGCAACGAAAGATAGGTTGCATAAGTACGGTATGATTGATGATACCGAGTGTTGCTTCTGCGAGAAAAATGAATCTTTAAACCATCTATTTTTTGAATGTGAACGTTTGAAGAGCATATGGATAGAGATCCTAAGATGGGCACAAATTAACCATACCCCTGGAAGTGGGCATAGCGAGATGAAATGGCTTATTCAATATACCAAAGGTAAAGGAGTCCGAGCTGCAGTTATAAAAATGACGTTTTCTGAGACCATCTATGAGATATGGCAGGCTAGGAATAATAGTATATTTGGAGAAAAGCCGGAGATCACTACTATAGGAAGAAAAGTAATAGAAACTTTGGTGTATAGAGGATGGAACACTAAAAGACTAAGGAAGTATATAACTATCTTAATGTTGGAGGGGGGATAGATAGATAGTTTGTTGCTTTTTCCCTTTTGGTCCTAGGTTGTCTTGTTTTGTAGCTGGATCCAATGGGATCGCTTGTACCTATCGACATTTTTTTGAGTAATATAGTTTTATTTTAAAAAATAAATAAATAAATAACAGCAAAAAGTTTTTCACTACTCTTTTTTTTCGGAACAACCAAAAAACAAATTTATTGAAAAAATGTCGTTTAAACTCAAAAGTCACATTTTATTTTCAAGTAGAATCATTTCTAAAAAAACATAGTCAATTCTACTCTAAAACAACCAAACATGTTTAAATCAATTATGCACATCCAAAATCAAGTTCTAGATGCTCCAAACGTAAAAACAAACATATACTAAAATACATTGGACAACACTAGCATTCATCGATCTCACAAATTCACCATCAAAAGAGAATCAATCTCAAAAAAATAAACAACTATAAATCACTATAAAAAAACTCACTTACTTGTTACCCTTAACCTTGAACCAAGTCTCAGCACAATATTTATGCACAGCAGCCAAACGAAACGGAGGAGGTGACAGAATCGGTGAGGGAATGACGGAGGAGGGAGGTTTCGTCGTGGGTCGTGGGGCGGAGGGAGGACGGCGCACGGTCGGAGGGAGGAACGGCGAACAGTCGGAGGGAGGAACGGACGTGGGTCGTGGGGCAGAGGGAGGAACGACGAACGGTCGGAGGGAGGAACAGACGTCGTGGGCGGAGAGAGAAATGATTTTAGGGTTTGAAAGGAATGCTTGGAATGTGCATGTTCCTTGGTGAACAAAACCTTATCTTGGGTTTAGGGGTTTTTTTAAATCGGTTGAATTTGAAACCGATTTAATATCATAATGCACAACCTTTTTAAATCGGTGAAAAACATACCCGATTTAAAATCCATTTTTTAATATTTTTTTAATATTACTTTTTAAATCAGTTGAAACCAAAACTGATTTAAAATCCCATTTTTTAATTTTTTTTAATATTACTTTTTAAATCGGTTGGAACCATAACCGATTTAACAACCCATTTATTAATTTATTTTGTAAACTTTTTAAATCGCTGGATCTCATAACCGATGTAAAATCTCATTTAATATTTTTTTTCAATTATTTACGATACTGGCACTGTGTTTATAATTTACAAACCCTAACTTTTTTACATCGGTGGAATAATTGGCCCGATGTAAAAGCTCTAATAATTTTTTTTTATTATTTACGATACTGCCACCGTGTTTATAATTTTACATTTTACATCGCTTCGAGTGAATACCCGATGTAAAATCATTTTTCCAAATGTCTTTTTTCTAGTAGTGGGTGTTCATGAATCAATTGATAAGTGATGAATTGATGTGAAATTGAGTGCTTTAGAGTATGGACGTGATTGAATAATTCATGATAAAATTGTTAGAGTTGTGTTAATTAGTGATTCACTGACATGTTTGATCATATTAGAATGTGAATTGTGTGATTTGAATGATGTAATGGAGATTGGTTAGAGGTATGAATGGTATGTGATGAAGAAAACGAACGATACACGAAAATTGAATTTCTAGGAAAAAAAATACATGTGACTAAATGATTGACCTTAGGGAGAAATCGATTAGTTCCTTTGAAAACAAAAGAAAATTTGGACAGAAGCATTGGAACAATCGATTGGCCTACCAGAGCAATCAATTGTTCTCTTTTGAAAATTGAAAAAAAAACATAGCCCAACTGTTAAGGACAGTCGATTGATCCTCCATTCTAAAAATATTGTTTAAAGAACAATAGACTTCGCTTTTTTACATGTTGGCAATTTTCTAGAATTTTGTTGTAAACTGTGTGTATTTACCTTAAGCTACGGCTATAGATATGTGTTAGATATATAACCGTCGCTTATTTACTTCCAGCCAAGATCTAAAAAGTGTTGGAATAACTCAACCGTCGTCTGTTCACTTTTAGCTACGGTTCTGGATTGTGGTCATTTCTTCAGTAAAATGCAATAGGTCTAATGTGTTGCCTACTATGAAAGGCGAAGATTTTGAATTGGGGTCAAACTCATGGAATTAAATGAGAATATATTAAGTAATACTTCCACCAGATCACACCAAGTATTTTGAGTTGTTACAAGACTTGTTCTTATAGGTTTGTTATAAATAACAACGAGACGTATTTATTAATTTGAAAATAACTTTTGTTTTTAGAATACATATAAATTAAACTCTAAAAGTTAATATTTATAAATTTATGTGTAAAGTATTTTACTTTTTATCAATCAATTAGTATAAATAAATTTACACTATCACACATTTAATTATTCATGTATATGATTTTAAAGCTGATAATAATAAGACAAATATATTTAAAAATTTAGCAATTGTAATTAATTGACAGGATAATAAAAACTCAATTTTTTAATATTAAAAAAGTTCATTAGATAAAAAATAAAAATAAAATTGAAAGGGCATATAAAAGTTGATATATTGATGGCTGTCATTAAAATAGTTAACTAAAATATTATTATTAATATCTTTAATATCTTTTTATGTTTATAAAATATTTTTTTTAAAAATTGCATCTAAAAAACAAAAATAGAAATTTGAGATTTTGTGCAATAAAAGGAGATATTAAAAAAAAATAAGTTTACCGAAATAAAAGTCATAAATAAATCATGTGGGGTTAAAATAAACTAATTTTCTTTTACTTTGGCAAAATGATAAAATTATGAAACTTAGCTTAAAATGGTTTTATTTTTTATATAGTGTGAAAAAATTACTTTATTAATACATAAAAGACACTTTTTTAATTAAAAAAATGAATCTTGTAAGATTTATAACATAATCATTGCATTAATTTAAATAGACATTAATCCTAACAATTATAAAAAACAATTAATAATAATAATCACAATATTAATAAATTAAAAAAGATACAACACCTTATCACTCTGAAATAAACAAAAAAGGGTTTTCACCGCCGTCGATCTAGTTAAATGTGTTTTTGTTGCCGCTTTCTCTTTTCATTATAAAAAGGGTTTCTCTTATACCAAACTTTGCCAATTTCATACTCAGATTATTCAAAATCATTTTCTTTTTCCCCAAATCCTTTCCTTAAAATCTCTCAAATCTACGACCCCTCAATCTCAACAAGTTCAAGCTAGAGCACGTTATTTTCATCACAAATGGTATATTTCAATAATTGTATTTACAATCTCCAATCTCAACCTAGATCTAGCTTTTGGTAATTTGATAAACCATGTTGCAAATATATGTGGATTTTAACATAGTATACTTAAAGTTAATTTTTTTAATAATAATTTGATGATTTGAAGCTTCATAGCTTCAATTCACGTATTACCAATCATGCAGGAACATTGTGTTCAGAAAAGGGTAAAATTTTTCTGAAACATCAATTTCGGGCTTCACAAAAAATGGTGCAGGGTGTCATTGAGCACTCTAGCAACATGTGGAAAGAGCAAAATCTATGGTTCTTCACCGTTTGAGCCATTTAAAACACCGCATGTTTCGTATGTTGCTGGAAAACACTTGATTATGAGCAAGTGTATGCAGAGCTTAGTCTTAATTGGATATCATTTGCGTCGAGACGAAGAAGTAATTTTAAGGTTGAAGCAGCATGGATGTTTAGAGGAGGAGGAGAACAAGGGTTAGATGCAAGTGTAGAGCAGAGTGAAAGTGGTAATGAGGATATCTTGATGTTCTTCTTTCAGTTGGTGGATATAGCCACAAGAGTGCAGGTTTTGCTGCTTTTACACTTTTATGAATAGAATAAATTTAAGTTGTGGTTGCAGTTGAAACCTTTATATTGCAGAAAAATGTGTCTGGTATGGTTGAAATTGAGCTTGCGGTGCTGATGCAGATACCTTAAAATCCTTTTATAAAATGAAAAATGTAATACTTTTTCATAAAAATGACTTATCTACCTATCATATATCTTTAAAATTGTTATGTTTTTTAGATATCAATGAATTGGTTCTATTCTTTCAATGATTTTCTACTGAATTTTGTTTTGTTTAGGTAATAGGCTATACATATCAAGTTTTCTAAAGAAGACTCCATCAGAGAAATGACATGATCACTATCGACGATACTGTTTAAATTATCTTTCGGAAAAAAGACTATCTAGTAGTTGATGAGGGTGAAAAGCTCGGTGCTGAGTGAACATTGTAGTCTTGCTATTATTTGCTTGAGTCAACATGATTTTTTGTTGAAGCACCAATAACACATGTAGTTGAAAGCACCATTAATTTTTATATTTTCCTTTATTAGAATTCTAAAATGAGTCTATTATTGTTATATATTTACCTTTATTCTATATGTTATTTATAGTTTTTTATGTAAATAATAATAATGAATACGATTAAGTTTTATCATAATTGTTTTTCTCATCAATTTTGTAATTGTCATAATTTAACCAAATATTATCGGGCTTAAAAAAAGGAATTAATTAGAATGAAATGATGTGGCAATAATTTTACTAGTGTGGCTTAAACAAACTGCAGATTAAAACTAATGGTCTAATAAATGACCACGGTTTTCAAAGTGTAGCATAATTAAAATCGCACTCAAAAACTAGTTTAAAAAGCGCAGCCTATTCATAAGCTATTCATAAGCTATAGGCGACATGTTTCGTATTTGTGGATAAAACACTAGTCAAAATTGATATTTTATATTTAATAGCGCTTTTAAAGAAAGTGTTATTAAAAAGGAAACAAACACATCTATTATAGAGTACAGAGAATGTGATTTTGATTTCTTTAAAATGCTATTAATATTCTTCACTAAGATAACGCTTTTCAAAAAAACGCTACTAAAATTTTTCACTAAAATAGCGCTTTTCAAAAAAACGCTATTATTATACTATCCTATGATAACATTTACATTAAAGCGCTATTTAATTATAAAATATATAATAAATAATAAAATTAATTAAAAAACCAAAGTCTTTTTCCGGATAAATTTTTCGTTTTGGCGCACAAAATTTTTGCTACTACCGCAAAAAACAAAACACGGCCTTCCACTCACTCATCTTCTTCCTCTGATTTATTCACACCATCGACCTAGCCTTCCTTCAAAACACGGTATCCACTCACTCATCTTCTTCCTCTGATTTACTCACGCCATCTCCTTCCTTCATTCATGGATTCACCACTGGAAAGAGGAAACACAGTTGATTCAGATTCACCTTGGATTCACCACTCGAATAGAAAGAGGAAACACGGGAAAGAAAGAACAAAGAAAACCCATTCTCTGTTGAACTCAGCCCTTCATCAGCTCACCACCGTCACCCTTCTCTACATTGGCATCTGGTAATCTTTCTTTTCTCAGATTATTGCTTTGTGTTGTAAATTGTAAAATTAGGGATTTGAATTTGAAGATAATTTAGTTTCTACCATTGTTGACTAATTATAAGTGAATCCCTAATTTTTCCAAGCTTTACAATATTTTAACCTAAGGTATTATCGAATACACTTTCGAATTTAGGAGAGACAAAACTTGTATGCCAAAAAGATTTATGAATTTTGAGACATAGGCGTAATCTTGTTTATTTTAATTGAAAAAAGTTAACTAGCATATCACCATTGATTTTGATGATTGGGATTAGTATTGATATGAGGTATTATTGTCAAATTAAGAATATGATAGTAGCTTTTGTCCAGTCATAGACACGGCTTTGACAGAATTTGTAGCTTTTGTCTGCTGTGGATTTTGTAGAATGAAACTGTCATTCTGAACTAAACAAAATAATCAATTTCAATTCTGATTGCATTAAACTTGTGAATTCATATTCGTTGGAGGTGTCAAATGGATTCACTCTGACTCAGTTGTAGTTTGCGCGATGACAGAGGTTGATAATGAGAGCCTTAGAACCTTTGTCAATGGTATCAATGATACTGGAAGAAGCCAAGAACCTTTGTCAAACCTGCATATTGTACTAGCATTAAATATCTTTGTCAAACCTGCGTGTCCGTGCTTCGAAAGCGCATGGATTAGTGTATTATAAGTAATCTGATATGGTATTAAATCACTATTTCGAACCATATTCTCCATTAAACGCTTCACTTCTTCGACTTTTCTATCCTTATAGAAGAAACCCATCACAGTACAGTAACTAACTTTATCCGGAGAGTATCCCTTAGACGGCATTTTTGCGATAAGCATTGAAACGAAACCTGCACCTAACAAGATCTGGTTGGCCAAAATCAAAGATATCATCGGCATGTTATAGAGTTGTTGCAAAACCTGTCAAAACATCAAGTTAATGCCAGGTTCTGTGCATTAAAATCATCTGATATTTATATTCAGTGACATGGAGTTTGATCAAGCTTCTGCAAACTCTTGGGAGACAGATTACCAAGCAATCACTAGGAAGTATAAAGAGAAATGGTATGGTTCTGTTGTGCCTCAGATAGTTTTTGGAATCTGAGAGACTCGAGGGCAACCCCGGTGCCATCCACTCAGAAAAGAGTGGCCCTGGTGAGTGTATTTTCTAAGAATCTGCTGACATTGTTCTTGAATAATAAAGGTGATATAAGCCCCGTAGAAGCCATGGAAGCTGCCATTGCTGGCCCTGAGTATCAGAAACTAGTTGTGCTGGATTAGATTCCTTCTGTAGTTAGCTAGTGTTCTATATAGTGTGCAACAATCAAACATGTCATTGATAAATGTTCCTGCAACTTTGTATCTATTAGGAATTATCAAGTGTTGAGATTAAGAAATTTTCTATCGAATGAAGATAGGAAAAACTTACATACAGTTTCTTATTGAGTTCCTAATTTTCTAATTATAAACTTGACTAATGTTTTATATTTTCTATTTTACCAATCTATGAATTAACAAAGGATAACCATAACCAATATCCTTTAATGTAGATTGTTCAAAACCTTGTTTGTAAGGTCAAAGTTTATCTTAGCAGTTAGCAGCAGACATTTGTGTCCTATAGCTTTTGGTCTCTAAGCATATGTAATTTATTCTCCCATAACATGCAATGTATCAGTTAGCAATATACTTTTGAATCCAATAATTGTGGTTTGTTATTCTTCTTCCAAATGATGCTAGCACATCAAACATATATCTATCTCGATATTATATTATAACCTTTTTCTGAATTTCCCTTTTTAGAATCCCAAATGCACACAAAGTTATAAGCAGAAACATTCAAGTCGGCTACTGCCTTTTTAAATATGATTATGACATGTAAGTTAGTTTGTTTTAGGTTATAAAAAGAGAGAATCACATACCATAAGAGTCACCATTTCAGTATCTAGCTTTCTGTCCTCTACCCTTTTGCATATCATGGGGTTTACCACAGTTTTAACTCTCACCTTTCTCTTTTCTATTTATAAACTTGACTAATGTTTTATATTTTCTATTTTACCAATTTGTGAATTAGCAAAGGATAACCATAACCAATATCCTTTAAGGAAACATGAGTTTGGTCAAGTTCCTAATATCCTTCAACCAATAATTTTGTGAAACCTCAAACAGAAACAGAAACAAGTAGAGGAAGTATTGGCCTTAAGTTACTTTATCAATAAAACCTATCTACATCCTATATATACCCCTTGGTCTGAGTCATATATATATATATATATATATATATATATATATATATATATATATATATATATATATATATATATATATGTATATGTATGTATGCCTATATATATATATATATATATATATATATATATATATATATATATATATATATATATATATATATATATATATATATATATATATATATATATATATATATATATATATATATATATATATATATATATATATATATATATATATATATATATATATATATATATATATATATATATATATATATATATATATATATATGTATATGTATATGTATGTATGCCTATAGGACTAAGACTTTGAAATTAGGTGTATGATTCATAGGTACATTAGCATATGCTTACTTGTGTATCTTGTCTTGCATCATTCATATAAGACTATTGATAACCCAGCTTGCTTTACATATATTGCATGCCTATGTCATTCTATATCATTTTATAGCTCTATTTATAGTGTTGGGTTGTTGGTGTCAACTAACTGACAGTTAGGTCATATTAAGATAATTCTATCTATTATATATCTGGATAACTGTCATATTAAGATAATTCTATCTATTATATATTTAGATTCTTTGTATAGATTTCATCACTTTGGCATTTCAGAAGAATAACATAACATATTTATAACAGTTTCATGCTCTATCACAAGTCTCATCACCACTTTCTATCATTTTTATCAATACCTATATTGCCAATTTTCAATTACTTTACTACGCTACTCACACTTTTAGTATTTCCTTGGAAATAATGTTTTTTTTCATCATTTCCATTCAAAGTAACTTGCTCATATGTTTGCTTTACCTTTGTTGGCATAGGCCATCTCAAAGGCGGAATAATTTTAAATTATTTAATCATGATGCTAATGCCTATTAGATAAGTTTACATGGGCACTGTTTGCTCATATCAATGGGAAATCTCAAGTTTGATTCCTTGATGAAAAAATAATACAAGGTCTTTTATTAAAGTATTGATTCTTAACCTACCATGTGTCAATTTTTTCTTCTTAGACATTAATCATCACTAATCTCCCTTTTGAAAATTGGAATTTTTTAAGATTTATTTAAAGAATCAGTAAATAAATGTGCATTAAAGCATTTCAGTAAAAGTTCATAAAACATTACACTTCATTCAAAATGTTGTAACTGATGTGCTATTTTGGTGTAAGGAGAATAACTCCTTTTTCTTTATTATATTTCATTTGTAATTTATTTGACAGTGTGCAGTGTAAGTATTTCTATTATTCAAATCTTCGTTGTTTGTATGGTTCTGCCGTTTTTTGAAGCTATCTTTTTCCAGGTGTCTGAATCGTATATATATATATATATATATATATATATATATATATATATATATATATATATATATATATATATATATATATATATATATATATATATATATATATATATATATATATATATATATATATATATATATATATATATATATATATATATATATATATATATATATATATATATATATATATATATATATATATATATATATATATATATATATATATATATATATATATATATATACCCTTGTAGGACTAAGACCTTGAAATTGGGCGTATGATTCATAGTTAGAATCTAATTTGGTTGTTAGAAAGAGTTGTTAACTAGTTATATATATACGAAGATGAGGTTCAAGAGTTTGGATGTTTGCCAGTGCAGCGTCAAAAGAATACGAAGACGAGGTTCAAGAGTTTGTCAGGTTTGCTATTGCTCATGCCGAAGACACTAGTAAAATCATATGCCCTTGCTTAAAATGTTGTTATACGGATGTTAGTGCAAATGTTTGAAAGATGTAATGGAATTGATAAAAGTTATACATGTTGGATAGTGCACCGAGAAAAAAAACTAAGTCAACAAAGAGGAGCAATGGGAGAGATAAATCAAATGATTTTGAAAAAGATACAAATTATGAGTTTGATCGAGTTGAAGAATGTGTGAATGTAATTGAAGAAGATCTTCGTGATTGTCCTCAAATGTTTGAGATGCTAGTAAGTCAGGTAGAGACTCCATTGTACAAAGGATGTACTAAATTTACAAAATTGTATATGGTCTTAAAATTGTATAACTTAAAAGCACGCCATAGATGGTCTGATAGGAGTTTCACAGACTTGTTGACTCTGTTAAATAGGATTTTGTCTAAGAATAATGTGCTCATTACATTTATTAAAAAAAGTAAAATTATATCATTATATTTATTACAAAAAAAAAGTAAAAATATATGATTATAAGTTTAAAAAAAAATTTAACGTTGTTGTTGTTGATTTGAACATTCATCAGAGATGATAGAGCGTTCATGCATAGGATGCAATTTATGGCGGTTGTTGAAAAGAATTTCATCCATCATAAAAATTATTGTCAAATTAAATCGAAGGTGGGATATTGTGTGGTATAACAAAATATTGTGTAAGCATATATAGTACAAAGATATGTGAAATTCATGGTTTCCATAATTTATAAACTACCAAAATTGAATTTGTTGCCAAGTAGTGGGAATGCATTTGTTGTTAGAAGTTGTGAAAATGAAAGATTTGAAGAGATTGAAGTTTTTAAAAGTGGATGTTAGGTGATAAATTGGAGTAAATAGTTGAGATGAATTAAACTAAAATTGTTGTTGGGATGTTTAAAAGAATTGGAGTTGAGAATTAAACTAAAATTGTTGTGGTGATTGTATGTATAGATGAATTAAACGGAAATTGTTGTTAGAATGGGTGAGGGGTGTTATTATATGATAGTTTTTGTATAAATTGGGGAGGATTAAAGCATGATTGTTGTGGTTGGGTGGGCTACATGGTATGAATTGGTTGTGGTGGAATTTGAATGTGAACTGCATGTATAGTCACATTTTTAATATGAAAAGTATGTGCTAAGGAGATGAATTCAACAAAAGTGAAACATGTAGTATCATTATTTGAAGCTTAAAAAAAACCTCATCAACATGAGAATGCCAAAGTTGTTGGTCGTTTTGCACTACTAAAAATAGTCTATTTTCCTACGGAATTTAGATAAACTTTGTAGAAAATTTACTGCTGTTTTTTAATCTAGCAAAAACGTTTGGGATAATATTTTCGAGAGGAAGATCTGCAGATAAATCTACAAGAAACATTCCGCAAATATATCAATGAAAATAAATCAGCAGCTAATATTCTTTTAAAATAATCCTCAGCTAATTTTTTTTTTTAAATTAACTTAAATATATTTTAGTTTTTTAAATTGAGACAATATAATTAGTTATGCAAGAGTGATTTTCTCCAAAAGACCAATTATGTGCCAGAAATTAACATATAATAGATGAGCATTGAGACAAATAGAGACCAATAAACTACGCTTTAATTAAAAAGAAACAATAAACAATGTGATCTTAAGTGCAAAACAATGAAGAAATAGTACAACTTAAAGTTTTATATCTAGAGATTCCGGAAATCATTTTATTTAAATTAAAAATACATTAATTGAACTTCAAAATCTGTCCACAATTAGGCTGAGAAAATAAGAGAAAATTAGTTGCATTCAAACCACCTTTCATAAAAAGCAATTCAAGCATTGAACTAAAATTAACATGGTTCAGCCAAACCAGCAACAGTGTTGACGGTTGGAAGACCTG